TAACTCGTGCACTTATTGCAGTAAATCACCGTGAATTTTGCATAACGGAAAATGAACAATTTTCACTGAACGGTCGATCACTGAAGATGGCCCAGCTGTTCTAATTTCTGAGTTAATAATTCCCCGTCAAAAGTTTACAGTTTATTGATGAAACACAGACTGGACAACAGCTAAAGCAAATAAAGGCTTGCTTATCTGGGTATCTAAATTAGCACTCCCTGCTTTCCCACAACTGACAATATTCGACTGTGTCCCTCTCATCGGCGGACTTTTAGTGTCAAACAAACTTTTATGGTTTATGTTTTTTTTTAAAAAAATTTCCAAAACACGTTTCACATGCTCGTATGTGAGAATCACTAATACCTAGGGAATGAATTCAAAATCTTCAGATCGTAAGTGACCAGAGGACCTCTTCCCAGAATTTCAGCTTTCTAGCTTCCATCACTTCTGAATTAGCAAATCCCCCGCCAAAAATTTCAAGTGCTACGTGAGAGCCGGGGTTGAATTCAAATTTTTAAGCTGTACTTGGAAGGGAAAATCGCTTTAAACTTTTAGCTTCCCAACTTTCCTAGCTTCCGAATTGTCACTTTCCCTGTAAAAATTCATGCGCCAATATGCGAGAATTAGACGCACGTAAAAGTTGACACGGCGTTCACGGGGTAGCACTTGAAAACACTTTAAGCGTCAAAGTTTGCTTGGCAGCGAGTTGAAATATCGGGACAAGTGAACGAAATTCATATGAAATTGGACCTAACATGGAAAATTGGTGCAGAAGACGGTCTGAAAAGTGACTGCAAACTTTGCTCACAAAATTCCAGCTTTCGTAACTGAAATGTGCAGTTACACAGCCATGGCCTCGTTTTTGTGATGTTTGCTGCTGCACCTGCGACGGGCATGTCCACAAAAAGGTTACTTCTCTCCTACCCATACACAGAGAAGTGGAAATCAGCACTGGGAATTGGTCAGCAGAGTGAAGTGAGTGACCAGAGGTCGAATGTCGAGTCGGATTTCTTCGCTTAACTGTACGAGAAATCAGATTCGACGATTCGTGCTTTGGCCGCTCGTTTCGCGGATTCAGAAAGAATTTAACAGCATGATGCGCCTCCAGTGTTCTGTCAACGCTTTAAATACTGGACACAATAGC